GAATAAAAAAATACCTGTTTGCCGGATGCTGACAACGGATGATGAGGAGTACAAGTGGATGTTGCCGATGAATGAATCAAGGTCAAGTGAAAAGTCTGCCGAGAAGAGAGAAATGATTCTGGTTGCAAGTATGCCTGTACAAATAAGCCCTGCGGCTTTTATCCGCGTGATTGAGAGATTAAAACCCAAGAAGAGAGAAAGAGAAAGGACAACTTCAGTGAATGATTACTATGAGCAATGAGAAAATTAACGAAAGAAGATATGAGAGAGCGCAACAGGAATACCAAGCGAAGTGGATGGAGAGTATACACATACGAGTGAGGGAGAGTGAGAGTAAGAGACTCAGGGAGAATTTCTGAAACGAAGTGTTAGCATAGATATGAAAGCATAGATATGAAATGATAAATATGAAAGAGAGTGAATGAAAAATGTAGTAAAATATGATATAATCATGCGCGCGCGTGTATGTGCGTGTGTGTGTGTGCGCGCGCGCGCGCGTGCGTGTGTATGTGTGTATTGTATGTATGGGAGAGGAAGAGGGGAGGGAGGGAGGGAGGGAGAGAGAGAGAGAGAGAGAGAGAGAGAGAGAGAGAGAGAGAACGAGTCTTTTATTTACAGTGACTCACCGTTAACTCGTTGTAAAGCTCATATCGAGCTTATCAATGACGTGTATCAGATTTGAATCGCGGTTTTTAGCCACCAATGCTTAGAACTGCGTCGAATTTATCTGCGTAGAAAGAGAAAGAGTATCGCTTTCCTATGCAACAGAATGAAGTTTGAATGGACAGCGAAGGAGAAAGAGAGAGAAAGAGCCAGACTGATTGTGAGTGCGAAAGGTCAGGAAGATTACAGAACTCAACTTGGGTGTCCCTTAATCCGATCATGCTGCGCGAGAATCCGTGTGACCTGTTATGTATGAGATGATGCGTATGTTACTTTTTCCCCATACGTGAATGTCTGTTGCTGTTGATTGGATAATTAAAGTTAATATTTTGATGGCACAAATGATTTAGTTGTACCGAAGTCCTCGTCCGGCCTGAACGTCCGTAGGAGCAAATGATCTCGAATGCTCAAGAATTCCCCAATTTCCTTAAACTTTCTCCCCTTATATTCCAGTCATATAAGTCCTTTTTAGTAGTCGGTCAAGTATATCACGCGATCACGGTATTCACGAGTGGTGTCGCAGACGAGGAGCTTTTCGCACTGCCATTTGGAACAACGCTGCACGGCTTGTCCAGACATTTTTTAAACACTCGTTTCTTCCTCTCTTCTCTCCCCGTTCGTAAGGCGTCTGGACCACTCGAAATCTTGGGTGAGATCGTCTTCCTGATCGTGTGTTACTATGCAGAAACGCCCGTCGTTCCCGTGTTTGCTCGACGGGAGTGTCTCTTTGCGGATCGCTAGGAGAAGATACCGTGATCGCGTTTAAATTGACCGAATTCTGTCAAACGGATAATTGATATAATCTAGAGTCGTAACCTGGAGATAAGTAATCTAGTGGAGAATTCTCTCTTTCGTAGGAATCTAAGTTCGCGGTGAAATCACGCGCTTTGATTTATGCGAAATCGCGAAAAATCCTTTCTCCACGTTCGACCGGGATGTCTCAAGTATCCTAGATCTCTACCTCCGTTTATACTGCGTCCTTGATGACGAATAGTTAGTGCCGTACTCCTTAGTCGCAAATTGTCGCCGCGAGTTCATTCCGTAGAATCGTGAAGTCTCCTTTTTTAATTGTGATTCGCGATTTTTAGCGACATTTTGCAATAATATCGCAATGCGGAGTTACGTCACGTCATCGTCATCGTCGTCGTCGAGAAACGTGTCTGCGGTAGTGCCATGCATTCCAAATGCTTTTGCCAGTAGATCTTTCTTTCGTAATTTGAATATTTTGTAGCGATTTCACGTTCATACGTACCTATATATCCTTACACTTTTATCGTGATTTTTCGAGTGCGAAAGGGAGATAGTATATTAATATAGGAAAATCTCTAGTTTTTTGAATTTATTAAACGCGAGGCAAAACGTGTTTTGACAAATATCGGCGCGGAGACATATGATTTCAGAAATTCCATCGGCACCGACTTCAGTGTAACACATGGATTATGTTTCACTGATTTATTTTTGTGTCTCCGAAAATTAAAATTTGTGTGTCCTTAATCGTTCATCGATGAGACCAATGCACTTTTCAAACATGCTCAAACAATTTTTATATTTATGAATTATTTGCACACAACACGTGATAACATTGATTAGCATATTATTCCGCATAAATGTTGCCACTGTATTTCGCAGCCTGGGTTTTTACGAGAAATATTTTTAGATACCTAACTTGCACAAATTCTAGAAAAATAATCTCTTGATTTTTATCCTTTGTTTAAGAGGTATGTACAATTTGATTTTTTTTATCCACGTACCTATTAGATTTAATATCGATGATAATGATAATGATAATATTATCTTTGATTGTAAGAGATATTGTAAATAATCAAGTAAGAAGTGTTTAATCAAGTCAACTTGAAATCTACTTGTCGAGTCAATATCAAAGTTAATAAGTGGGAGATATATATATACATATATATATTGAGATCACTTCTCTAAGAGAAGGCTAAACTATTTTTCTAAGATGAGATCTTTCATAAATTACGAGATAAAATAAAATAAAATGTCTTGGGAAAACACAGGAAAATGTTTCGAACTTGTGGCAATATTTATTCGAACTGTATTGTATATATATCTATTTTAAGGCGATTATGTTGAATACCAACGATTTTCAAAAATTTACTAAACATATATCTGTAATATTTTTTTGTTTTAATTAATAAACTACCAAATAATGTTAAATTTATGACATCAGTGATTCTGACATATGAATTTATTAAGTATTTCAATAGTATTTTATATTTATCAAAAAATTGATTATTCTTGTCGAAATACGATGTCCTCAACGCCGAAATTTCGCCGCAATTTGCCATTTTAACACGATTATTCACCGACGGCGGTTAGTTAAAAATCGCAATCAATGTCTTGATCGCGATAAATTCGGTAAAGAGGCGCGTGTATATTCTTTTCTTTTATACATTCCATTTAGTAGAGATTAGATAGAAAGAGAGAGAGAGAGAGAGAGAGAGAGAAAGAGAGAGAAGAAAAAATAGAATGAAAGTGCCACAACGGAGAGGACAGCGGTGCGTGTCTTTCCGTATCTTGTAAAGAACTCGATCACTCGCCTATTCTTCTGATTCGCAATCGAGAGTTTGCAATTTCTGTGTGTGACGGTCGTCGGAATTCGCAGCGTTCGATTTTGGTGCTGAGATCGATTGTTCTTTTAAAATTAATCTGGTGCTAAATCGTGAAAATCGTAACGATGATTCTGAGATCAATTAGTTACGTTATTTATTGTGCATCAATGTACATATTTATAGAGTTTTATTATATTATTAACAAAGATTACATTATTATACTATCTCTATGAAATGTAAATTTAATCTACATATCTTTTTTTATTAATTATCTTTAAATTATTGAATTATATATAACAAAAAAAAATAATTGCTTTAGATTTAAATAAAAATGGGAAAACAAAGTTATGCAATTTAATTTGTTGAACAATAAGAATTTTATAAGATAGAAATATTTTTCTCCTTAAAGTCCATAATTCATTGTTAAATATTCAATAATAAAAGATCAAATCTATATTGAGAGTTATCAAAAACTAGAAATATGATTAAGAACGTAATTATCGTTCCGATCAATATTTTAAAAGTTTTCATGTATATTATATTCATTTATTATAACACTTATATAATCATGCATTTCTTTTTGAGAAGATCTCAATTTTTGCGCGAAATCGCCGCGAATTGCGTCGCCGAATTCGCCAATAAGGGGAAAAAGGCAGAACGAGAGAGTCAGATGCGAGAATGAAGCATGAAATCGCTGAACGGATGAATCAAAGATATGTGATGTAAGAGAAAGAAATGTGTGTGTGAGAGAGAGAGAGAGAGAGAGAGAGAGAAAGCGTAGGAGACAAAGCGACGAGATACAGAAGTGACAAAAGATACAAAAATACAAAAAAAGAAAAAATAATAGATATATATGTGACTGTGATTTTTGGAGAGACTCTCGTGTGCGAGGAGTCGACGTTCTATCCTGAAGGGAGCACGGTCCTCGCGATCTTTCGCGATCTTTTCGTCGATTGTAGAGACGAAGTTCTGGCGGACGATCCTGATCCTAGCATATCCTACGATCAAAGCTCCTTCTCTTTCTCCTCTACCTCGACAACCTGATCGAGCCTGAAACGCACATGTCGGGATCGTGGCCAGAGATAAACTCGCTCTCGAGTACCGTGCTTCATCAGACTGGCTTCGTAACGAGTATTGATATCCTCGTCAATATAATTAATTCTTTATCCTGTAGACTAGACACTTGTTAATCAATCCCTATTTTTTTATCGAACGAATTAAAAATTTCTTTAACAGAGCTTCGGATAATCCGTGCAACAAGAGAAGTCTATATATTCCAAAAATTCCAAATATGCCAAAGATTTCTTAAAAGTGATAGGAGATTAACACAGGAAGTGTTAATTCAACGTGAAAAAAAAAATTATCGGATTCCGACGCCGCTCTGTGAGAAGATCACTGTAGACTATAAGTTATCACGCGAAGCCTATGTTCTTAACAATAGATTTTTTCGCTGTAACGACGTTTTCGTGATGATCCGGAGGAAGCGACGTAATACGTCCTTACAGCGGAAGATTCTCAGTACGTGATGAAACGAGGATTTTTCGTCGGCATGCGAAGCCAGCCTGGAGGAACTTATAATAGCACGACAAAGCGACTTATCTTGTCGACTAATTAGTTGTTTAGCCTTTTCATCGTCGAGACTCCTAGAGTGCGTGC